CTGAAATTTACCGCCCAGATCTGTGCAACAGTCGAGCAGGAGGTATCATTCCAGGTCAGATTGTGTGGACAGCCATCCTAAACCACTTGTTTTCCTTCACTTTCAACAAGTGTTTTGCTGTATCATGTTCTCTTCAATTGCGCCTCTGCCCCAACCCTACTTCAGGAATTCTGACCACATTGAACGCAACTCTTTTTTTTCAGAAAGCTGAAGGGGCAATTTGGCAAAAGTGAAGACAAGCAACCAGGGCCCAGCTGGGATGTGAACACGGGAGTTCTCATATGTCTGCAAATGAAGCCCCTTCCAAATCGAGAATCATACCCCTGGACCAACGAGCCCATTGGCCGATCCAGTGGCCACCCAGGAACCAGCAGTACAAATTTTCAAGAACGTTTTTTTCTCATTCTGTCTCATTCCTCCCAGAATCTTACTATTTGCTTCCCCCATCACTACCGGCTGTTTTAGTTTTGCCAGGCTGGATATTGTCAGTTGTGACCAGAAGGGTGTCCAGGAAGGTTAAAACCAGAGTGGACTCTTCCAGTGGAGACACCATCAGTGAAGTATCAGCTAGTGTGATGTGGCTCCTGGCTTCTGTTTTTGCCATTGGGCACCCTGGACGGTTTTCCAACTTGTAATTGTATACACTGAGATAATGGGCCCACTTCTGAATTTGACCAGAAGCTTTGGGCAACACAGTCTTTTCTTCTTGAAGTACCCCTAACAGGGCTTTGTGGTCCGTTACTACCACAAACCTTTGTAAACAAAGGCATTTGTGGGACTTTCTGACACCAAATATGACCGCAAACGTTCTCTCCCTGGGTGTATTTGCATTTGGGATCAGTCAAGATCTGGGAAACTTACACTTTCAGGCATTCTTCTCCATTGGACCGTCGGTGAACCGAACATTACCTGATACTGTGCAGAGAAGCATAACATATCGACACTACATCTCTCTTGGGATTGCAGTGGGTCAACACCTCAGATGGTAATAGCTGCTTTTTCACTTCCCGACAGGCTATGCATTGGCTATGCGAGCATTTCCAATGCTGACTCTTTTTCGACAGCAGGTGTAAGAGTGACAAGATGGAAGCCCGGCTGCAATAAGTATTTGTTGATGGTCTTTAGAAATTTCCCCACCAGTCTTTTAATGCAACTGTTCTGTTATTTTATTCTTGTCTCCATTTGTAAACAGGTTGGAGCACACACAATCTTGAAGTGTTTTGGAGCTACTCACAAAAACAAGGAAGAAAGATTTAAAAGATCAAAAGATTTATGGCCCATCCCTCAGCAACCCTCATACATCCCTTCCAGACTGAGTAAATGCTCTCTTTTATTGTGATATGAAAAGTGTTGTAAAGAAGGGTTAACTGAACCTGTTTGTTTGGTGCCTGTGATTAATGTCTCCATGGATTCCTATTATCCCAGGAGAGGTTTTTTATCTTTTAATGATAAATGGGCTCCATTCAATGTGTTATTCCATGGTATGCACGGCATAATCACCTAAATCTCTAATACAGATCAGAAGTTCCAGAGAAGACAAAGAGAGATCAGAACGTGAGAATCATAGACTGGAATATTCTAAAAATGGATCAGAATCGGAGAACAACAGTCTGGAATGTTACAAGAATGGATAGGGATTTATCCTGGGATGTTTGGACTCTTTCTACAGATTATGATTGGATGTCTTTATCACGGAGGATTCTATATGCACTTTTGATTATGCAATATTTTTATTACCCTATCTTGGCTTTCATTGGTATCCCTGGTAAGTCTCACTGTCCATTTATTTTTTCTTTAAACCATGCATGACTGTATTGCTGTTCTTTTCATTTATTTTACACTCCTTGCCACTGTCATTGTTCCTGCTAGGATTCTGAATCCAGATATTTACTCTACAAATCACCACTAATTGCATCAGTGAACTTGTTCATTCAACGTCTCCCTCTTTGCTTCGGACAGTGTCTCTCATGGGTATTTATGTTGACCTACTCAGTTTCTGCTGTGAAGCACGATTCATTGCATCACTGCACTTGTTATTTAAATATTGGGAGCATGGAGATCACTGTATTCTGTTCTGTTTACAAACTCCATTCCTTCCTCTGACTCCATCTCGACCCTGGCCAATATCTGAGGCTGAAGCAGACAATTCCCAATGGTGGTGATCCCTTTGGCCATGAGCTGATTTCTGACACCATACCCTAACTGCCCCAAATCTCAAATATTAACACGTCCAGCATATACTTCACTGGTGCATTCCATCTGCTATTTGAACCTTGAGCAATGAAGCATAATCATTATGATGCCAATAATCTGATGCTAACACTCATTGATTCAAACCTGCAAATGCAAATCTGAGTTGATACTCCATGGCTTATATCCGAACTCTCATTAAAATCCCAGCCGTCTGTCATTCCTGTCTGCACACTGATCTATACTGTTATTGGGTCTGGCAACGCCTTCATTTTAATATTCTCAAGCACATCATCTTATCTGTCTATGAAATGGGTCTCAGTCTTTCTCTTTCTGTTGATTATCCAAATCCCTGCAGTTATTCATATTTAAACTGATTTCCTCCATGTGTGTTCTCTGTCATTTATTCTCCCCCTGCACCCTCCGTCCTCCCGCCCCTGCTACCCCCAACAGTCCCCCTTCCCCACAGGCACACGCAACACCCTTTTCTTGTACTGGCACAATGGAGATGTGCAGACATAAGATTGTGGGAGCCCCATTTACTATCACTCACAGCATGGACTGCAAATTTCCACATGCTGGGCAGTTCTCTAGTGCAAATATAGTACCTATATACTGTCAAAGGTTTGCAATATTCCCCATGCTGGGCAGATAATTTAGTTTGCTGAGCAGTTATGAGGGGCCATTTGGCTTCAGTGAATTGGAAAAGTACATTATAAGATTTAGTGGAAGACAGGCAGTGGCTGTTACTTATAGAGATGCCTAAGCTGTACAACATGCATATATTTCTCTCAGGTTCAAGCACCAAAGGAAAAGAAGACTCAATGGTGGTTATCAAAAGAAATTTAAAATCGCCTTAGATCAAAGGAAGTGGTTTAGAAAAATTCCAGATAATTTGGCAAACCAGTGGATTCAGAGAAAATTAGGAACCAACAAAGGAGGACCAGTAAATTGATAAGAAAATACAAAAGATAACTTGAACACAAACTAACAAGAAGCATAAAGATTGATGAATTTTTTTCTATCAATTTTTGAAAGGAAAACAAAAGCAAGGTCAACTTCGAACAGTGGATGAATGTACAGCACAATTTATTGTAGAGAACACAAACATTGTAGGGAAACGAAACAGTTACTTTGTGTCTGTCTTCATGAAAGAAGTTTCAGAAAATCTCCCAGAAATATCAAGGGACCATGAGCTTGTGTAACGCAAGACAAAAATCATCCATTTCAGTAACAAGGTAGTATATGAAAACATAGCTGGATTGAGCATTGATAAGTGTGATGTACCAGATGTACTTCATATCAGAATTTCGGAGAAAGCAGCAATCGCTAAATTGATTGCATTAGTGATCACTGTTTTTTTTCCCCTTACATCCTTCAAAGACAGGAAGCCATTCTAGACAACAGGAAGGTTATGAATGTAATCCAACTATTTAAGAAGGGAAGAAAGGAGGGAGAGTGGTGAACTACAGACCAGTTAACTTGTCATCTACAGTGGGAATCTGTTGAAATCTATTAAAAAGGATGTACATTATAAGGATGTGGTATTGAATATTTAGAAACTAACAGCAAAATTGGAGAGAATGATTCTTCATTTATGAAAGGGAAATCATAATTTACAATTTCTTTTTTGAACTTGCTTGAAAATGTTTCCTGTAGACATTAACAGTAGAGAACCACTGCATGTGTACAGTTGGATATCCAGGAGGATTTTTTTAAAAACTCACAGTAAGTTAGTAGAAAATATTAAAGCGAAGAATATTGGAAGGGGCATATGCAAATGGAAAGGTAAAATTTAGATTTGCCTAAATTTAAAGCAAATCGGAATATAGAAGTAAAGAAACCCTGCAGCAGTTGCAGGACTGTACCTGGAATACTGTGTACAGTTATTGTCTCCTAATCTAAGGAAGAATACACTGACCACAGATGAAGAGCAATGGGCTTGTCTAGATAAATCCCTCAGATAACAAGATTGTCTGAAGCAGAAACTCGGTTGGTGATCTTATAGTTTCAGAGAATGAGAGGTGATTGGAGTGAAATTTAGAAAATTCACTTAGAGGGGATTGATTAACACAGGGGTACGGAAAAGTGCTGGCAGGCAACATGAGGGAAAACCCAAGATATTCTAAAAGTACATCAAGTGGAGCAAAATAACTAGAGATCGATTAAGATCCATCAGAAACCAAAGGGGCAATCAGTGTGGGAGCTCAATGAGCAGTTTACATATGTTTTTACTTGGGAGAAGGAACATTCAAGACTGCAAAAGATGGATTATGAAGCTCTTTAGCAGATTGGTGTAAGATATGGGTAGTTATTGGATGCTTTGACTGGTTTAAAACTGGACAGATCCCCAGGTTTGGATGAGTTGTATCAAAGTCTGCTGTGGGAGATGAGACAGGAAAGGTCCTGACACAAATTTTGAAGTCGACTCTGGCCATGGATGAGGTGACAGATGACTGGAGAACCATTAATGTGGCTCCACTTTACAGGAGGGGTAGTGGAAATAGACCAGGGAAATATAGACCAGTGAATCTCACATCAGTGTTAGATAAAGTATTGGAGAAAATAGGGAAGGAGAAAAATTATCTCCGTTACAGAGGCAATGTTAGATTTGGGGTAGTCGGCATGACTTTGTGAGAGGGAAGTCATACCAAATGAATTTGATTAAATATTTTCAAGGGGGTAGTTTATATGGTTTTTCAGCAAGACACCTGACAAATTCACATATAGGAAACTGTTAGAGAAAGTAGACCCTCATGGTATCAAGGTTAACTTGGCAAGTTGTGCCCAATTTTTTCTTAGTGGCAGGAAACAGGATGGTGATAGAGGAATGTTTGTGTGACTGGAGATCAAAGCCTGGTATTGTACCACAAGGATCTTTGTTGTGTTCCTTCTTTTTTGTGGTATTCATTAACAATGTAGTTGCAAATGTTGACAGGTGTGGGTGCAGTGTGATAAGTACATTTGTGTTTGATGCATAGGTTGGCCAAGTTGTTGGCAGTGAGAAGGCAGGTTTGATGTTACAGGAAGATACATATGGAATTGTCAGTTGGATAGATCAATGGCAAATGGAATTAAAACCTGAGAAATTTGAGGTGATGCACTTCGGAAGAAGGAATCAGACAGGGAGTACTCAATGAATGGCAGTACACGAGTAAGCTCAGAGGATGCCTCTCCACTGATTCTTGAATGTGACTGAACAATGGGTTAATAGGTTAGATAAGAAGGCATGGGAGATTGTGGGTATAGGCAGAACATGTATTCACCAAAGCATAGATTACATAGAACTGTACAGAACTATGTTTAGGCCGCATGTGTAATACTGTGTACAGGTCTTGGCATCACATTGCAGGAAGGATACAAAGAAGATTCACAAGAATGTTCATGGGATGGAGCACATCAGCTATAAAAAGAGGATAAGCTCAGGTTGTTAGCTTTGGAGCAGAGAAGGCTGAGCAGGATGTAATTCAGAAGTATGAGATTATGAGGGGCATGGACAGGATGGATAGAAAGCAGTTATTCTTTTTAGTCAAAGCGTCAAAAAACAAGGGAGCACACTTTTAAAGTGAACGATTTGAGGTTTAGAGAGGAGTTGAGGATTGCTTTTCACCCAAATACTGTTGGGCGTCTGGAATGCATTCTCTGAGAGGGTAATTGTGTCAGCTAATCTCACAACCATTAAAAAGTACTTGGATGAGCACTTGATGCATCGTAACATTGCCGGCTACAGGCCTCATGTGGTAAAGTAGGACTAATGTGGATTGTGCTGGTGATGGTACAGCATCTATTCTTCTAAGATTGTATGACTGTGGAAGGTTATTATTGAACAGCTTCAAGACAGGAATTGATAGGTTTCCGGAGGGTAAATTAATATGAATGAATTATAAAAACTTATCAAAGTATACCACAGTGAAAGGTTAGAGTAGACCATTGCAGATTTCTAACAGACTGAATCTGGACAATTGACAATAGAAAAATAGCAGAACTATTAAAAAACTACTTCAGTTCTGTCTTCACAGAAGAAAACACTAAAAAAGAACTTTCCAGAGAAACTACGTCGAGTGAGAAAAGAAATAAAATAAAAAGGATGAAATTAGTCAAAAAACAGTTTTGGAGAAATTATTTGGGCTGAAATCTGATAATTCCCCATGGCCTGATAATCTCCATCTTCGATTAATAAAGGAGGTGGCCATGGCAACAATGAATGTGTTGCTTGTCATCTTCCAAATTCCCGATGAATCTGGAACACAGTTAGCAGATTTGAGGAAAGAAAATATAACACTATTTATAAAGAAGGCAGCAAGACAATGGGGAGTGGTAGTGACTTTTGAAGCCAGAAGTCAATATTAGGAGTGGGTTTGGCACGCTGAACAATGTGCACAAACCCTCATGGAGGATAGCAGTAAAGTTGAAAATGATCTGGATCTCTTTGTACACCAGTCACTGAAAGCAACGTCAAAGGAGTAGACATCAGCTAGGAAGATAAATGATGTATGGCCTTCATTTCAAGGGGATTTGTGTACCGTAGTAAGGTTGTCTTACTGAAGCTGTACAGAGCCTTGGTGAAAACTAACT